CATCAGCCCCCTGTGAGGCTCAGCTCCCTTCTGGCTCTAGACTCCCTGCAGTGCAGTGTCCAGTATCCCCAGGAAGCTCACCGGGCGTTGGCCTGGCTCCTCCTCCATTCCCCACTGGAGACTGAATCCCTGTCTCTGCTGGCCAGAAGGCTTGGAGACTGCTCCCTCTACTTCCTCCTGCAGAGATTACTGTCCGCTGTGATTCATCTTGTTCTCTTGAAAGCTGGCTCAGGAAAGACTTCTGTCCACTCAGGGTGTGTTTAGCAGTGTGTGGTGGCTCCTTGGGTTCTGCATTCTGCTGAACTAGAGGCCTCCCCAGCCCTGTGCTGGGCTCAGGTCTGAAGCTCATTCTGTAAAGTTCTGATGGGGTGGTTGGAAGTATCCAAATGAAGTCTTTTTAAATGCCTGACACCAGGATGTGTATCTGAGCTTTTTATCCCTGTGATCAAACACCTGATGTACACAGCTACAGGAGGATTTACTGCCTCTCATGGTTTCAGAGGTTTCAGTCCCTGCTGGGCTGGCTCCAAAGCACAACCACTGCAGAAGGACCTCAAAAGGAGAGCTGCTCAGCCTGCGGCAGCCAGGAAGCACACAGTAGGAGAAGACCAGAGACACCAGTGTCAAGAATATCCCTTCCAGAATAAGCCCCCAGCGACCAGCTGCCTCCCCCAGCCTTACCTCCAAACAGTGTACTCAACTATGACCTCATCACTTGATTCATCTCTTGGTAAAGTTAGCATCCCCATGACCTGATCACCTTGCAGATGTCCCACTTCGAAACATGAGTCTTTTGAGGCACATTTTTGAGCCAAACCATAACAATATGTACACTCTAAGCCAGCTTTGAGAAACTAATATTTGAAATGTGGATGTTCCTATCTTTTTAATGGACACAAAGACACAAATTTTAACTCATACCTATATCAATTTCTAGCTCATGTGTCCTGGGATAGTCCTCAGAATAAAGTTCTTGTGGTGAAGATGAGCCTGTGGCTTGGCTTATCAGGCATCACTGTACTTCCCAGAACACCTTGCAATGTCTAGATTGAGTTAAGCTCACTGTAATGTATTGTACAGAGAGAATCAAATTAACTAGTGATACCAAACACATTCAGCAAGAAATACAAATCTCACATACAAAATTCTGAGTAAAAAGAACTCTCCCTACAAACAGCCAGGGATTTTCCTCCTGGGGAAGGATACTGTTCCTCAGCTGGCTGAGGCCAGACAGGGTTGCCCCAGGACACCAAAGCCTCCCCCGGGAGGAGGTCTCTCTTCCTGCAGAAGTGGTGAAATGCATCGTTTCCAGCAGCTGATGGTTTAGGAAAGTGAGCCTTGGGCTTGGGATGGATGGCTTTGCTGTTACACTAAACATTTACCATTTCCCTGACACATTTTAATCACTTCTAGGACCTTAAGGGGAAAAAAAAAGAAAAGATGGGGCCTACATTTTAAAAGGCCTAGTTTGACCCTCCTCTCCTCAGTTTCACATGAGCCTTTTGCAGGACTGTGGGTGGGACAGCTGCACATCCAAAAGCAGACCACCAGATGCTCCTTGTTTTCAGGACACACCACTGATTTCAGTGTTTTGTTTTGTGAACCTGTGCTATTTACTTCTCCCCTGAGGTGGGCACCCAGAAGTCTGAGCCTGCTTAGTGGGCATCCGTGGTGGACTGGCTGCACCTGGGAACCTGACCTCCAGAAACTGTCTTTTGCCTCCTCCTTGGCTCCAGCAGGACCTTAGATCTACAGAAAGAACTTTAAGGCCTTGCAGTTGTTTCCATCCAAAATCAGCACTAGAATTAACTACTGAAGTCACAGCTGTGGGACTGTGTCCTTTCTTACCAAGATGCACATTTCCTGCTGGACTGCTTTCTTTCCAGTATGAAATCATGCATTTTTAGAACCCTGTAGTGATCAGGGCCATTGTCCCTTCTTGAGATTTAAACACTGAGTTGTGCATTTCCTTGTTGAAAGGACAGCAAAAGGGTTGAGGTAGGAAGATGAGCATGACTGCAGTGTCAAGATGGTGTGGCCCTTCCCCTACATTGAGTCTTTTCAGCAGAAAGACCAGTGTGTCTGAGCAGGGCTCGCTTTGTGCAGTGAGGGGATCTGTACCCCTGTGGTGGCTGTGGTTGTGTATGTGTGATCCCCACACCCTGCTCTGGGAATAAACCTGGCCTCGTACAACCAGGTGGAGGTGGCAACCTTCAGGAGTCTGCAGAGTGTCTGCTGGCTGCTCCCGCAAGTGGGGTGGAAGTTCCATAACACACATATAACTGGTAGCTAACGGCCCAAGGGTAGATAAATGCAGATAGTTATCACTGAGTGCTGGTGGCAATGGGCCTCCTCCTGGGATGGAAATCCTTTCGATCTGCCTTATCCAGGGTGAGGCTGTTAGCCACATGGGGTGTGCAGCATGGAAATGTGGTCAGTACAACCAAATAACTGGGGTTTAGGCTCTCTTTAATTTTTATTACTTTAAAGAGCAATATACGGCAGGAGGCATTTTGGAAAGTGCCAGTGTTCCCTATAATGGGTTGTGGTTGACCACTGAGGTTTAACAAGGCGGGAAAAAATTCCATCTAATGTTTCACTAGTACATTCATTTGCTGGATCAAACATGGGCTCTCCCTGATTACCTGCTCTGAGGGGTTGCACTGGTCAATTTGATTTCCTCGTGAAACATCAGCCTGAAGCCCAGCCCCAGGTAGGGTGAGTGCGGGAGGACGTCCCTGGGAATGTCCCTTGGTGCTGTGGTCCCTGTCAGGTTGTGAAGGAAGATGTGGAGAGTGGTGCAGGAAAGGGATGCTGAGATGTTGCCCACCTGCCTGTGCTGCGTGGCGTCGAGCCCTCTAGGCTAGATGGAATCCGGGGTCTTGAAGGAAAGCCTTCTCCCTGTCCCTGTCCCTGTGCCTGTCCCTGTCCCTGTCCCGTCTGTGCGCATTAGCCTGGATGGCCGCTTCACAGGAGGGACCTGCTCTTTCAGAAGAGCCCAGACCTCACAGCTCTGTGCTCGTGTCTTCATTTGTTCTGAAGCAGTGCACCAGTGCTGGCGGGGCACCACGCTGGCCCAGGTGCTGTGCAGTGGACAGTTGTGGTTGCAACAAGCAATGACAGGTGGCCTGGAGACACCAGAGGAAGCGGGTGTCCTGTGGCAGAGGCCCTGAATAAGTCAGTAGGGTGAGGTGGTGCAGGGTGAGGTGGGCTTCAGGGAGGAACACAGGGGTGGAGGACTTGAACAGGAGTAACGGCTTCAGAGTGGGAAGAGCAGAGCTAGTCAGGTTTTTCCTCCTCATTCTTAGCTGCCTCTCTTTCTTCTGATTTCTGTTGAAATTTTTCCTGGTCAGTCTGATGCTCTTTTCTGTGTGGATTGGAATTCATCAAAAATGTCTTTCCTGCCCCTTACCCTCTGGGTGCATACAGCTCCTCGCCAGTTCCTCACCAGGATCCACTGGCTCCATTTTCTGTCTGACCCCGTAGTTTGCTGGGAAGCCCTGTCGGCCCTGCCTTCAAGCCAGGGCCATTAGGCGCTCACTTCCTTTTCCTCTGTTCCCATGGTGTCTAGCTGGAACATGCACTCAGCACCAGGAAGACCCACACCCATTTGCCAGCCCTTGTTCGTCCATCCAGCCCAGCAGCCCGAGGCACTGACGGATCACATTGTCTTGTGAACTCCACTGCTGTGGGTCCCATTCTCACAGCTGCACATGCCATAACCTGCCCCCTCCCTGTCAGTATCAATGGGCCTCGTCACCACAGGGCCTTTGCAGTGGCCATTCCTTCTGTCTGGCTGCTCTCTGTTCACCCCAAGGTAGATCCCAACCACACGTCTCATGAGTGTAGCTCACTTCTGCTGACTGCAGCCAGCCTGGATCTTGTGCCGTGTGCACTTCTCCAATAACCACCTCGTACCCTGCGGCTCATCCAGCAGTTCTAGGATGGTTTTTGTTCTCCTCCTCCCAAAGCATAATATCCCTGAGGCAGCTGTTCTTGTCTGTTTGCTTCAGCCCCAGGAGGCATGTGGTAAACACGTGAAAGAAGCGCAAGGCGCACGGCTGTGTGCTGGCACTGTAGCTGACCGCCTGTCCCTCTCGCCAGGTTTTAGGCTGCGTCCATTTCCTTATGATGGATGGTTTGTCCTTGTGCAGATGGCTTGTCCAGACCTCACACTACTACCTCAGAGTAGAGTCCAGGAAGCAGTCGTTGACTTAATGGTGGTGACGTTCTGGGCTTCTGGCACATTTTTCTGGGAGTTGGTGACTTCTTGGACTCTGAACAGTGCAGTGAGCTCGCCCCCTGTCACCAGCACTGATACCAGTGTTTAAGCTTTTGTTAAATTGGTAAAGGAAACTGCTGTTGTTGAAATTATTTCTCTTGTCCTCTTGTGTACAGTAGATCTCTATCCCCATACAGGGAGGCCGCAGCAGAGGCCCTCAGCGGCCCACAGTCAGGCCCTCAGCGGGCAGGACATGTGCAAGAAAGTGATTTGCTTCTGTGACTAGGATTGTCACTAATCTCTTCTGTACCTGCTGATTTTGTGAAGATTGAAAGTATTGAGCCATGAAGCTGCCAACCGAAGAAATGCTGGATGATAAAAAACCCCAAGGCCACTCTGAGTACCTTGCTGAGACCTGGAAAATCACAGGGTTCTTAGTGTGCTCAGATATACGGTCCAGAAAGTGTCGCCTGTAAGTGGCTATGTTCACGCTGCATGGCTCAGCAGCCCTCATCCCGCTGAGTACAGCTCACCTCTGTGCCTTTGTGGGCCCTGATGATGGTAGATCTGGTCACCCAAAAATCATTCCTGGTGGGTGGTATGAAAGGGTATGTCTTCAAAGGGTGATGATCCTTTGGGCTCAGGATGGAGGTGGAAGTATGAAATGATCCTGTCTCCTACCCTCAGAATATCAGCACCACATGGCCGGACCTCAGAACATCCTGCTGTTCTTTGCAGATCACCAACAGCTTACAGATCCGTTATTCTTTCTTTGTAGATCACATTTTATACGCTGGTGAAGGCCATTTACACCCTGGGCTACAGTGTCTCTCTGATGTCTCTTGCAACCGGAAGTATAATTCTTTGCCTCTTCAGGTAAGGAGGAGAAATGAGCAATTCTGCAGAAAGTACAAGCCAAGCAAGGTTTCTGTGTAGGTTTTGGCACCACAGAGAAGGAGACGGGGACTCCCAGCCTGGAGCTGCTGTGTGTCAAGACTTTGAAGCATGTGAGTATGGAACATGCATTTAGAGTCTGCATTTCCAGTGTGGAGAGATGATATGATGCTGACCTTGGGTAAAATCCACTCAAGCTATCAGTTATTAAATCTCTAGGCATCACACAAATGCATGAAAATACAAGAGCAATGTGGCCTTCCCTTGCCACTTGGAAAGTCTCAAGTACCCTACTGAGAGAGGCTACTGCAGTCTCAGTAGCTGCATGATCTTGGACAACTGACCCAACCCCTCCGTGCTACTGCAGAGTATAGAGGCAGCGCAGTCACATCAGAGGTTGCTGTAGGACAGTGTTGGTGGATCAACAGGGCTTAGACTGTATAAGACTGTGACCAGGGCCCTGTAGTCTGCCAGTTCTTTCTTAATGTTTTTCTAAGCACCCACTGTCAGTCCTCTTGGGACTTGCCTTATGGTTCAGCTGTGATCTGTTTCACTTTCATCTGAAAACAATGTAAATTCTGCAGTTGTCAATTTACATCCCAGTTTTAACTGCTTATTCTAAAAGTAAATATATTAAATCTCCAGCTCCAATTATGAGTTTGTCCATTCCATTTTTTATTTCTTTCACTGTTTGCTCTATGTTTTTAGGTTGTGTTTTTAGGAGTTGTCTTGGTTACTTTTCTCTCGTTGCTGGGACAACATACCTGACACCCAAAATTAAGGAAGGAAAGGTTTATTTCGCTTACAGTTTGTGGAGGTTTCAGTCCATATTTGCCAGATTACAAGGCAGAGTGGCACATGGCAGAGAGCTACAGCTGATGGCGGCAGAACGCAGCAAAGCAACAAGCACAAAAGCCAGGAATGGCCTCAAGCACCCTTTTCCTCTCCCTTACATATGCAAACTATCCACCCCAGGGTGGGTGTAGCTCTCACACCCATAATCAATCAAACTCTAAAAGCCTGCCCCATGGCCACATGAGGCTTTGGGGGGACATGCAGACACAAACCATAACAGGAGTATACCGACTTAAACTGACCTTGTTTGGAAGGCAGATATGCTCACCACTATACCACCAGTGCTAAACTGACCATCTTTAATAATGCCCATTGCCTTAAAAGTCTCCTTTTCTGCTGTATAGTTATATTTACTGTCTTGTTTTGTGTTTGAAACATATATTGTGGTCTATGCTTTTATTTTCAACTTTATATTTTATTAATTTGGGTATCTTATATTCATCAACTGGAATTTGCTTGTTATCTCCAGCCTGACATTCTTTATTTTAAAATGCTGTATTTTTACAACCACATAGTCTACCTATTGACAATGCTGAGTTTTAATCTAGTTTCTATGTCTTTGCTTTCTAGTTGTCTCAGTTGTTCTCTGTTACTTTTGCACTCGCTTCTTGTTGCTTTTGAGTTGGTCAAGTGTTTCGTTTTGTTTTAGTTTTCCCGTCACACTTTTAGCTATGTAATCCTGGTTTTATTCCTCTAGTTATCACTTCCATTCACTACACACATAGCAGCCTCCAGACTACTTTTACCACTTTCCGATTTCAAGAACGTTGCACCATTTTAATTCCATTTACCCTCTCGTGTCTGTTGTGTTTTTGCATGTATTTTGACTGTGTGTGTGTATGTCAGGTCCCACAGGCATTGCTGTTGGGCTTGTTTAAGTTGCTGTTCATCAGGGTGCCCACAGGTTTACCTCTGGAGCTCCCTCTTCCTGCTCTCCCGTCTCCATCCTGAATCTTCATCCTGCTGCATGAAGACCCCCATAGCATTACAGAATTCTCATGAGTTTTGATTGGCTAGAATTGTCTTAATTTTGCCCTTCTTTTTTGAGGTTACTTTTGAAAGTACCAAATCCTTACTTAGATTTATTTTTTCTTATCACACTGAGGACGTACGTCATTGCATTTTTGTCAAGTCAGCTGCCAAGCTCACTATTGTTCCTTGTGATAGTGTCTTTTTTCTCTTGGTGATGGGAAGATTTTTTTTCTCTGTCTTTGGTTTTCAGCAGCTAAATGCTCAGGAGATTTAATGTGGCCTTCTCTGCATTTGTTTTTTTATGGTGTTTATGAAGTTTCATTGGTTTATTTTTTGTCAGTTTCAAAAAAATTCTTATATTCCCTAGGATGTTGCTTCTACCCTATTCCCTCTTTCTGAGACCCCATTTTCATCATGTTCACTGTTTTTACCATTTTTCCTATGTTTTGTTATTTTTCTATCTTTTCCATGTTTTAGTGTCTATCGTAACTTAATATGTCCTACAGATCCAACTCATAAAGTTTTCACTTGCTGTGTCTAATATACTATTAGTCCCATATATCTAACTCAACTTCAGCAAATTTTAAGTTTCAGATTTTTTATTTGATTGTTTAAAATCAAATCGATTCTCTACACCAAGGTGTAAAAGGCATAGGAAAACCATAGAAACCTTCTTCATGTGTGGAAAGAAAAATTCAGCAAGCATCTAATGAGCATCTACTCTCTCAGCTACAGAAAGGAGCAGGGAAGTGGGAATAAGGTGGCTATGAACAGTGTCAGATGTAGTCTGTGTCCCCAGAGTCAGTGTAAATTGAGATTAAGCCTTCTTCAAGGCAGAATTTGTGTGATACAACAGTTATAAGTTAAACTTCCTGAATACTTTTTGAATACTTACATAAAGTTAAACTCAAAAGATCTGACACTGACATTTGGTGGTTCTTGGAGATGAACTAGAATCCCAAGAGAAATTTTACTGGAAGTGAAGGCCAGGCAGCAGACCAAATAAATTAACTGCCCTATACAGTGAGGAGCAGGAAATAGTATGTTGTGTTTATAGACAAGCATTAGTATCAAGAAAAATTAAATACTCATGAACTAACCTAACCAAGGAAGTGAAAGACCTCTACAGTGAAAGCTGTAGGGCTCTAAGAAAGGAGATTAAAAGGGACATCGGAAAAATGGAAAGCTGCCGTCTGTTCCTGGATAAGCAGACATTGTCAAAATGGCTGTATTTCCAACTCTTATGTACAGATTTAATGTAATCACAATGAAAATACCAACAGGATTCTTCACAGAACTAGAAAAAAAACCATTCCAAAATTCATATGGAACTAGAAGAGATCCAGGATAAAAAAAGCAATCCTGGGCAACAAGAGCAAAGCAGCAGAATTACAATCGCAGATTTAAAGTTACATTACAAAGCTGCAATGATAACACCAGCATGATACTGGCACAAAAATAGGCATGTGCATCAGTGGAAAAGAATAGAGGACACCAAAACAACCCAAACACATTCAGCCACCTGACCTTTGACAAAAGCCCAAAATCATACACTGGAAAAAAGATAACCTCTTTAGCAAATGGTGCTGGGAAAATTGGCTATCTACTTGCTAAAGATTGAGGCTAGACACATATCTCTCAACTAAAAACAAAATGGATCCAATATTAAAACAGAAACACTAAAAAAAATTTTAAAAACAGATACACTTAATCTGCTGGAAAATAAAATAGGTAAAACTCTTGAAGTCGTGGGCATAGGCAAGGACTTTCTGAACAGAACCCCACTTGCAAAAGAAATAACATCAAAATTCAACAAATGAAATTACATTACATTGAAAAGCTTCTGCACAGCAAAAAGAACAGCCAACAAACTGAAGAGGCAACCTACAGAATGGAAAATTTTTTTTCTAGTTATACCTTGCACAGAAGATTAATTCCTATAATATATAAAGAATTCAAAAAAAGTTAGACCCTCCCAAATAAAATACCCAATCAAAAAATGGACAACTGAAATAAGTAGACACTTCCCAGGAAAAGAAATATAAATGGCCCCTAAATACATGAAAAAATATTTAGCATTCCTGGCCATTAAAGAAAGGCAATTAAAACAACACTGAGATTCCACCTTCCTCCAGAGAGAATAGCTGTTATCAAGAAATCAGTAACAAATCCCGGCAAGACCATGGTGAAAAAGAAAACCTCCTATATTGTTGAAGAGAATGTAAATTAGTACAACCACTATGGAAATCAGTATGAAGATTCCTAAAAAAAATACAACTAGAAATTTCGTTTCACCCAGCTATTCCTCTTCTGAGCATCTTCCCAGAAGAGTTAAAGGCATCACACTATAGCAATACATGTATACCCATGTTTAGAGTAGCACAGTTCATAAATGGCCTATTTGTCCATCAGTAGGTGAATGGATAACGAAAATGTGGTATTTACACACAATGAATACTACTGTGCTACAAAGAAGAATAAATCTGAGTCATTTGTAGGAAAATGGATGCATCTTAAGACCATAATGTTAAGTGAAATAAGTCAGACTCACAAATTTAAATACTGTATAGTTTCTCTCATATGAGAAAGCCAAAGTATAAATAAAATAAAGAGCAAAATGAAAGATAAAAGAAATTAGGAAGGTAGATCTACTGCAAATAGGAAGGGGAACAAGAGATGGAGGGAGGGGGAAAGGGGATATAAAGGAAGAGTTAAGATACTGTATGTCATGTACAATATACCTACAATGAAAGTAGTCAGTATGTACTGCAAACATGTACTTATAAATAAGTTAAAAATAAAATAAAGTAACCCAAAGTAAAAGAAAATGGGCTAAGGAAACACTGAAGCCAGAGAATGGAGAACTTCAGATGAAAAGCTAATTTAAGAATTTTTTGAGTGTGAAAGACAAATTAGCAATGCCTCAGACACATGGACCCAGAAAAGCTTGCAGAAAAACAAGAGAATACTCTGGAGCCTGTGAAACTGAACCAAGCACTGCAGTGGCTGCTGAGAGCGTTGTCAGGTGTCTGGGAGAAAGAAGCTTAGGCCAGCACCTTCCCATGTGGTAGGTGTGCAAATGCATGATACCAGCCACTTGGTATCATTAAAATTGCTTGGGTAATTTTAAATGTTCCAGGCTTCACATCATAAAGATAGAAAGAAACCAGTGAAATTAATTGTCATAATGCATTTTATTTAAATTATTAGGTCCAAACTGTTGTGAGTTCAACCAGTGATCAACTGCAAAGAACAGTAATGTGCTCGTTAACATTCATTGTGTGTTCACAGTAAATCTTCAGAATCCAGGTTTTCATTTGCACAGCATTGCTGAATATGGCCACTAAATTTGTACTGGAAATACTTGATCTACATTTAGATTTTGTAAAATTAAAACATACATCAGTTGTACAGACTTCAAATCTTTAGCAAGTGAACCAGGTACCCAGTGTCATTTTTGTTAATATTCACAATAGTCAAACATTGTCAAAACTAGATCACCTTGTTTGGATTCAACTTAACTTTGAAGAAGAAGCATATTGTTTACAGTCTTTCTGCCTACATTAGATAAACTTCCTGACTCTTGGGGCATCGAATTCAATGCAATGCCCAGGGGAACTGTGAGTCACACTGGCATTGACTGTGTTCGCTGAGGGTCTGATGGGATCCATGCTGTTCCCAGGAGCCTGGGTGCTAGTTTGATGACAGAGCAGTCCTGTGAAATCTCCAAAACTCTCAGTACACTCTGGCCAGGGCAGGATCATCCTGTCCACTGTCTGCTGTTGCCTTGAGCTGCTCCATGAACTCTCTCATAGGTGACTTTGCTCGTAGAAGGGATGATCAAAAGAGTGCATGCTTAAATTTTTTAAAAACCTTTAAACAGTAAGAGACACATTGCCAAGAATGGTGGGGTGAGTGTGTTTGAAGCAAGGGGAGCATCTTGGGTATGCTGAAGAGGGTTAATGGCCATGTATCTCTTTCTGTCATTTTTTAAAAATTTAAACATTCACCATAGGTTTTAATCACACCTTATCTATATTGAAGGGTTTTAACAGCCACCATTTTGGTAGTATTTTAGAATCTGCTTGACAAAACCAAGCAAATGTTTTCAACTGTGTCCTACAGTGAAATGAAGCAATACTGGGAACACTGGCCCCTTGTTTTAAATTCCAGATGGACCCCAGTGAGCTCAGATTTTTGACCTCCCATAGCTGTAGCAGTGTCTCTCAGGTGCAGTGGTTTTTTTTTCTTATGCAGCTGAGATTCTCCCTTGACAGATAGAAACTAGGAAGGACAGAGAGGAAGAAGGAAGATGCACCCCATGTCCAGCCATATCAGCTTGCGTCCTGCAGTGCAGCAGGAGAGGCCAGGGGAAAAGAGGCAGCCCCAGTCCAGCTAAGCCTGTTCTGTATTCACACCCTCTAAGCCCACTTACACAGGGATTTCTTTCATACTTTCATCCTGAAATCTAACATGAGGCAATAATCAGATTTATTGCAGAAATACATATCACAACGCAGAACAGGAGAAACACTTAACTATAAAATAATAATAGAATACATGAATAAATGCTTGCTTCCTATAAATGAAAACCATAAGATTAAGGCACAAAGATGATATTAAGATGTCCATAGAATCAGCATCTCATTACCAGCTCCACTCACAGGAAGCCACACTTCACCTCGGTGTCTGATCATCTGTCCTACATCTCCCCTGTCCTCCTCAGGAAGCTGCACTGTACCAGAAACTACATCCACCTGAACCTATTCCTCTCCTTCATTCTGAGAGCTGTCTCTGTGCTGGTCAAGGATGACATCCTCTACTCCAGCTCCAGCACACTGCACTGCCCCAACCAGCCGTCCTCTTGGGTAAGGCTGTCCCTGAGAGCAGGGTCCCCTCTAGAGCGAACTCCAGCACCCAAAACCTCGCTGCCATGACAGTGATGTTCAGTGGGGCACACTGTCCTCGGCAGACTGTGGAATGAGGAGAACTTGGCAGAGAGGGTGGAATACCAGCTATGCCTTAGTGGGGCCCCACAAGCAGGGAGTGCTGGGGTCCAGGCTGCTTCCCAGGATGAGGGTGAAGGATCCCATTTTCTGAGCCCAGCAGGCCCAGCCCAAGCAAGATAAGGGCAGCAACCATGGTAAGGGAGCAAGCAGCTTCAGATTGGAAAAAGCGACATCATCAATGATGTCGATGAGCCCATGTTTCCTGTCTCATATCCCAGGTTCTGAGCACTATCCAAATTGCGGGAGGAAGTCCACCTTTGCCATCAGTAAACTGCATGTAAGCCCCATTGGAAACCCCACTATGTGTCTGTGACCGTGCCTGATCCGACTCTTGGATGAAAGGATAAATGATCTGTATTATTAGTTTCTGCAAATGCAGTAGAGGCTGTTTCCCTGTTTCCCATGCTGGCGCCGTCTTTCTCCCCTGATGCTATTTGTCCTGGTTATTAGTGGTTACTTAGTACCTAATCAAGTCAAGTCAAATCGAGAAATATTTAATGAACAGCTCCTACTTGCAAGGTCCTGACTTTCTCTCTTCGTTTGAGATTCTGGTGTGTTGTCCTTGACCTGAGATCCAGCTCCAAGGTTGGAGACTGTCACTTCCCACACCCCAGGCGATGGACTCATGTGCTGGCCCATTCTTAGCCTGAGCAGCTGTGGATTCATTTAGTTCTGAGACGGCCGGCTCTCGGTGACTTGAAGCCATTGTGATACCCTGCAAATGAAGGCACATCCAGGACAGCCTCACTCGTGATACAAGACTAGGCGATATGCAGTCTGTTGTGATAATAAAGATGAGGAGCCCTCGCCTGGCAGATCCTCCAGGTGGAAGTCAGGGCTTCTAGAACTCTGGTCCTGAGACAGGGACCCTGAGAGTGTGCAGCCTTTGCTGAGGTGACCTCTAAACCTGCTCTGCAGAGTTGTCTTTCCTTAGCTCTTCCGTAAGGAGATTGTGATCTTTAGCAGACTCTCCCTCCCATGTCCCCTAAAGTGGCGCCTCTCTGCTCTTTTTTGCCGGTCAGACCCCAAGGGCCCTACTGGAGGGCAAAGAGGAGCAAAGGAGGAGCAGCAGGTACCTCCATGGCAGAGGAGCCGGAGCAACACCATACACACTGCCCCATATCACCAGCCCCTGTGCAGTTATCCGCTGGGGTCTGCCCAAGCTTGAGTTTTTCTGAGGGCCAGGATTTTCCCCAGACACAGATGTTCAGCTGCTGTCTTAGTTCCTTTTTTGTCATTGCTGAGACAAAATAGCTGACACACAAAGTTAAAGGAGGGAAGGTTTGTTGGGCTCACAGTGTGCGGAGGTTTCAGTCCATCCTCGGCTGGCTCCGTGGCAGGGTGGCACATGGCAGAGGGCAACCGTTCATGACAGCAGAAGACAGAAAGAGCAATAAGAAAGCATGGGGCAAGCCTCTTTCTGTCCCTATAATTGTATCTGGTCTAACAGGATTAGGGTGGTGCCAGTCCAGTCAGTGGACTGATCCAGCAGTCACACACTCTTAATCCCAGCACTCTTAATCCTAGCATTGCACCATGAATCAATCACACACTCTAGGTTCAGCCGCCTCCAAGAAAACCCTATGACCACATGAGGCTTTAGGGGGATATCCAGACACAGACCATAGCAACTGCCTTAAAAAGCCATTTCCCTGCTTCCCCAGTGAGGGAACTGATAGGGTGAGGCTGGCACCCACAGCTCAGGTGTACTGGGGCAGAGGAGCAGGTTTCTGAGAGACAGAAGAACATGTCTGGAGATGACTTATAGGAGAAGAATTTATTAAGACTCACAGAGAAATAAAGGGCTAATTCCACTTTATAGCAAAAGACATGCCAGAGGAAATGCAGAGGGGTCCATGGACACTTCTTGGCAGGTCCACAAAGGGAACATACCATATGACAGTGCCACTCAGCAAATCCCCCCCAGTGCACACTCAATACCAGCACCTCCTGATAAATCCCACCAGATGCATACTTAACAACAGCACTTCCTGGCACATCCCATGGAGTTCATGTGTACTCAGCAATAGCACCACCCAGCAAATCCCAAGGGGTGTGTACTCGGCAGCACCGCCCAGCAACTCTGTGAAGGGCAGCAGGAACCTAACAACAGCACCAGGCTCAGTGCTGCTGGCAGGCTCGGTGGCCGGTTAAATGGGTTACTTGCAGCAGGGGTGCAGGGAATTTATACAGCAAAGACATCCCAACAACATCCTCAGCTGTGCTTGTCCCGTTATGCAACCAGTGTCCCAAGGAGTGGCTGACAACATGGGCAGGGAGGTGGCTTCTACTGGTGATACCAGCTTGCCCAGATCCCAGTGCCCTCCACATAACACCTTCTGTGAAATCCAGTCCCCATCCACTCACGTTGTCCCCCAACTTGGTCCATATTGGGGACAGAGAGGGGCGTTTCAGGACATGGTGCTAAATGCGCTAATTTCCTCAGGGACCATACACCCGTGGACACAGGATGTTCTGTACACTAGACAAAGGAAGCAGCCCATGGGAAGATTCCCCCCTCGTGTGTGTATGGGAGGGGGGACATGTATAAGCATACCCTGTGTATGTGTAAGCACATCTATTGTGTGTACATGTAGCAGTGTCCCCAGCCATCTGTATGTGTACAAGTGTAAGTTTAATTGTATGAAAGGTCATCTGGAAGTTGAAAATGAATTTGTTGTATAGAATATGGCATTTTTTCTAGTGACAATGGTTTTAGATCCCTGGGGAATATAATTCCCTTGCTAGATTTCTCATTTTTACCTTTGTTTTATCTCGACTTAGTCTCCAAAAAGTAAAACTCACTTTACTATTGGGGAATTTACAGTGTCAGGATTTTTAAAGAGGCATCAAGGAACCTAGCTCCAGTTGCTTTCTCTTTCCAAACTTCCTGAAATGCTGATAGGGAAATGGCCTCGGTGAGTTGCAGCTTTTCCTGTGCATCCTGGTCAGATGTGGGCGCAGAGGCTGGGAGCCACAGGCCCAGCAAGAGCCCAAAGCCCCCAGCCCAGCCTGTAGGTGTCGGTGCAGCCCCAGCACGCGCACACTCCACTTCCTGTCCCAGGAGGGCACAGCGAGTGGATAGTGGAGGAGGAGCAGAGCCCACATGTCAGAGGGGCGGAAGAAGGGCCGAAAGGAGATCAAGGAGGGCTCAGCAGAGCATGTTGTCCAGGAGTGCACCCACAGCTGGCACTGTCACAGCACTCTGGCCTAGGGGTGGCTGTCCCCTGCCCTTGGAGATGTTACTCTTCAAGGAGGTCCTTGTTCATCACAGCCTTGAGCCAGCACCGGGCACATGCTTCACCCCTTAGACAAACATGAAGGCAGCGTTCTGCCGAAAGTTCTTACTGAGGACGCGTTCTCCACTTTCTGCATTTCAGGTAGGCTGCAAGCTCAGCCTGGTCTTCTTCCAGTACTGCATCATGGCGAACTTCTACTGGCTGCTGGTGGAGGGGCTGTACCTGCACACACTCCTGGTGGCCATCTTCTCCCCCAGCAGATGCTTCCTGGCCTATCTGCTGATCGGTTGGGGTGAGGACTCCTCCACCCTGACCGTGTTCCCTGACTCCATCCACCCCTAGGCAACAGATCCTTCAGCCCAGAAAACCCTTCACTCGTTTGTGTGTATCTCAGGGTCCTGTGCTGACAGGAGATTCCCGAAGACAATACTTGGTGCCTTAGTTACTTTTCTCTCATTGCTGAGACAAAATACCCAACACTCAGAGTTAAAGAGGGAAACCTTATTTAGCTCAAAGTTTATAGAGGTTTCAGTTCCTAACTGGCTGGCTCCAAGAGGGGGTGGCACAACAGACACGCGTCACAGAGGAGAAATAATTAATGACAGGCAGAAGGTAACAAAGCAACAAGGGTCAACCACAGCTCTTGTTATCCCTTTTATCTCATCCGGGCTACTTAGAGTAGGTTGCACTCATATCCTTAATCCTGGCGCCCTTAATCCTAGCATTGCACCACGAATCAATTCACACACTTTAGATCCAGCCCCTCTGAAAAAGCCCCATCCATGACTGCATGAGGCTTTGGGGGACATCTAGACACAAGTCATAACACTTGGGTATTTCTGGAAATCAAAGACCTAGTTTAAAATGTTCCAAATCCCCATTCCTGGCCCCATTTGCTCCAGATTCAAACTGAGCTGCTAACAAAGAAGGAAATTCTTTGTGACTCTTCCCTCTCTCCAGCCAGCTCATGATGCTTAGAAATCAGAAAGGGGGAAGAGCAGAGGAGAAGCAGCACAGATGTCACCCACATAGGTTCTGTGGCAGGCCCTGGGATTGGCCTGGAGGCAGGGGGCGTGTGCTTCATCACATGGGGCCTCTGAGTCTGCAGCTGTCCTTCCAGCACCAGAAGGCTGATCCCACCCTCAGTCAGATCCTCACCTTTCCGATGCCCTCACAGGCTCGCTGCCTCGGAAGGCACAGAAGCCTGGGAAGGCATGAAGGCCCCCTGCCCTGACTGCCTCCGATGTGGCCATATTGGTGAAGACTTGGCCCTTGGGTGGGAAGCTCTTTCCTGGCAGTCTGGCCCAAGCTCTAGTTGGGTGGAGCCTGACTGCTCTCAGAATAGAGTGGTCTGACCCAGTGTCTCTTGCAGGCATCCCCACCATCTGCATCGGAGTATGGACGGCTGCCCGCCTCTCTTTAGAAGACACAGGGTGAGTCACGCCCACTCCCAGCCTATGAAATGGGTCTGGCCATGCTGGCCATGTGGGAGCTCCAGAAGCTTGTTCCTGGTAAGGACAGGAGTGTCTGAGGCCCTGTAAGTGGGACACCTTAGACACTTAGAGGAGGCCAGTCTGGCTATGGAGAAACCAGGCAGAAGTGGGTAGCATCTCACATGGCACAGCGGGTTCACAGATCAAAGCCAGGGAGAGGCAGGTGCATACTAGAGCAGAGCATTGAGACTGGGCCTGTGGCTGCCCAGTGACCTCAGTGGCTGGCATGGGTGGTGCTGACCATTTCCCATGGCTACCATGGGTCAGAGCTTCTGCCCCATCTGTAGAGACCCAGACCTTGCCCCTAAACTACACAGCAGGCATTTCCAGCACAAGTGTGCCTTGTAAAGGCCCAGGGTGTGTGCTGCCCTTAGCAAGAGAGCCCTTAGAAGTGGGCAGCCTAACACAACCCACTGGTCTAGTGTGTGACTGGGCACACTGACAACTTGGGGGACCTGCAGTGATTCCTCTTCAGACCCCTGTCCTGGAGGTCCCAGGTGAGTGGACTAAGCCCCCTGCTGCCCCCATCCTGTGGGCCCTGGAAAGGCATGGGGTCCGGGAGGGGTGTGGACCCTGGAGGGAGTTGCAGGCTCTTTGTAGCATGGATCATGCTTCCTACTAGAGACAGTCCACACACTGAAAATCCAAATCATTGCCAAACAGAACAGGGGTGGGTCCCAGCCAGACCTACCTCAACCATTCTGAAGGTGTGGTTAAACCTTCATTCAGGACACATGGGAACTGTTTCAGGAGTGAGAGGGAATTACTATTCAGGACACAGAGTTCTTCCTATGTTGTCAGAAGTGTGAGCCTGGGCCTCACCAGCCCCGAGAGACAATTGCCCAGCCTTCCAGGGCTGACCTGGGCTGCGTGTGTTCCCATGTGCTCACTGGAGACGGTGGGGCTGAGACTAGAAGGAAGGCCTCCCTCACCAGGACGACGCCTCATGCATCTCCAGGACACCGAAAGGGGTGGTGTCAGGAAGAGTGTGGGGCCCCTGCAGACACAGTTGCTCACACTGAAGTCAGCCTGACTCAGCTCTCCTCCTCCTCCACAGTTGCTGGGACACAAACGAGCACAGCATCCCCTGGTGGGTGATCCGGACACCCATTCTGGTCTCCATCCTAGTGAGTAACTTCCAGGGGAAATGGGGCTTCCCCTGGACATGATGACCATCTGCTCAGTCACCTTGCAAAAGGCCATGAGGACGCCAGGGCCTCAAGGGCCTCAGAGACATGGTTCCCAGTAGGGAGGGGACCCCAAGTCCCCCCTGGCTGGACTTTGGGACCAGGCTGGGCTGGCGTTTGTCCCATTCACATCCCCATGCTGCTCTGAGGCACATGGTCGTGGCTTTCATGGTGACAAGGTCCTGGCCCCGCAGGTGCCCCACATCCCGTACTGTGCACAGGGAAACCAGGCACCATCTCTCTGCACAGGTCAACTTTGTGCTCTTCGTCAGCATCATAAGGATTTTACTGCAGAAGCTGACATCCCCAGATGTGGGTGGCAATGACCAGTCCCAGTACAAGTGAGTATGCTTCTCTCCAGCCCCGTGTCCATGTGCCACGGCGACCACAGGCATAGCTGGTGCTGACCCCCAGGTCTGCCGGTTCCCATGCAAGTGTTGATGGCATGCCAGGTCCCTGGTGTGATCATATTAGGCAGTGACCACATTCCTCTGAGGCAGAATGTGCCCTGGGCCACATACTACTCTTAGGTTAGCTCTGTCTTCTCTGTCAGACCTTGTGGTCCACAGCCACAGGACCACACCTAGCACCTGATGCCATCTCTTGGTGACAGTCCAGTGGGCACTCACAGGTTAGGTGAATGCCACCATCTTCCCTCCTCCTCCGAAGCCAGGGGAGTCCCCACTCATCAGTGATGATCTAAGGAATCCATGAGGAAACTTGTAAGTTCCATACATTTCTACCCATAGATCATAAAGAAAGGTCTGAGTAAGCCTGAGTCTGGTGGTGAAGCTCAGGAGGAGCCTGGAGTGCACATGGACAGGGCTGCATGGCCTAGAGCTGTGTCACCAGCGTGGCTGCCTGTCTGCTTATGTGGAGCTCAGGGTGGCTAAGGTGAGAAGGACCCCGGTGTGGGGCCACAGCCCAGCAAAGGGCTAAGAAAAGTGACCCACACTTGGTCATTGGTTTTCACATCTGTGAAGTGGAAGCACTGTCTGTCACCAAGGCCTGAGGGTCCATTGAGGTCACCAGATGATGCTGAGTGCCTGCAGGAAGCATTGTGAGAGGGCTTGGAAAATCCTTGCATCCAGTCAATGTCTCACATATGAAACCCAAGGAAGACTTTCCATGCCCAGCCAACCCTTGGAATTTGGACCTTCTGTGAACCTCAGCATCTGTGCTGGCCTCCCGCAGGCTCCTTGGGCTGAAGTCAGTCTTGAGGGAGACGCTTTTATTTTCAGAGAAAGTTATGTGGCTGATGAAACCTGTCTCTGAGTGGGGAGGATAGGGTGCTGTGCTGCACCCTCCCCATCTCTGCAAAGAGGTGGCCAGCCCACCCCATGTACCCAGAGACCATGTGGGCATGCCCACAAGGGGCTATGAGCAGACTCCCTTGACCATCACAGTACCCAGAGCTGGCCTTGACCCCAGGCCAGCCACCCATGGTGGGGGAAATCCTGGGTATAGGGGAGCCTTCCCTAATTGGGTGTGGATTTAAGACAGGTACCTCAAAAATGAATTAAAGAAGTTATCCAGTGGTAGCTTGTAATTGCAGCTGTTTGGGAGGCTGAGGCAGGAGGATTGAGAGTCTGAGCCCAGCCTGAGCAACTTAGCAAGACCCTGTGTCAAAAGAAAATGTTTTAAAATTCCTGGGACATAGCATGAATGCTGCAAGGAGAAGGAGAAGACAAATGTGGAGGAGAAAAGAAATGGTTTTTGAATTTGGTGGTGCTTTCCTGAGTGTTGGGGGCCAGCTGAGGGAAGGTGGGACACCCCTAGATCCTTCAGCTCAATGTCCAGGCAAGCAGGGTCATCCGGGGCTCAGCACATTGCCCCTGGGCAATGTTAGCAGATGCCTGGTTGGGCCTGTGACTCCAAAGACTGGCCACAGAGCCATAGCCCAGAGCCAGGTTCTCAGAGCAGGTCCTGTCATCCCTGGGAACTGGGTGGGGTCAGTGGCCCCTGCAGGGTCTGTGCTGTCACCACGCTTCCAGACCAGGATTTCCAGGAGCTGAGATTCCAGACCTCTGGCTAAGACAATTTGAGGAGCAGGGTAAAAGAGGAGGTCCTGCTTTGGGGGTAAGGATCAGGTATACAGCCACTCTCAGGCAGACTTGATGCCACCCACAGCCACCTCCACCCCATCACCATGCCCACATCAACAGCTGTCAGCCCACTGTGCACCAGAGACACCATGCTGGGTCAGCCCTGTGATCAGCCTGGTGACTGACCCATGGCAGTGATGACAGGGACAGTCCATGCCCTGAGAGCCACACCATGCCTGAGCCCCACAGGACACCTGTGACAGGTCCCCTCTTGGGAGCCAAAGCCTTTTTCACCTTCCTAGGTGCACAGGATAGCAGCACCAGGGGCCAGGGCTGTGGGTCTGGAAGGAGATGACAGCCGTGCATGCCCCACGCCCCTCATAACCTGGCTTCTGGCCCCCTCGGTCACTGTGTCCCTTTCCTTCTGGCCCAGGAGGCTGGCCAAGTCTACACTGCTGCTCATCCCGCTGTTTGGTGTCCACTACATGGTGTTTGCAGCCTTCCCCAATGGCATCTCCACCCAGTACCAGATCCTGTTCGAACTGTGTGTCGGGTCCTTCCAGGTGGGTGCAGTGGTTGCAGGTGGGCATGGGGGACCATGGGCCACGCTGACACCTTCCCATTGCAGGGCCTGGTGGTGGCGGTGCTCTACTGCTTCCTGAACAGCGAGGTGAGTCCTGGTCCCGGTGTCCTCCCTGCTTCATGCTGTGCCCCTAGCCCCTCGCAGCCAGGCCAGAACCCTTCCCTGCACATTTCGGCCCCGCCTCCCTCAACACCGCGATCTCCTCCCTCTGTGGGGTAGGGTGGAAGTCAGTGCCCAGCACCCCTGTGGTCAGCATCCTGCCCTTTGACCATGGCTCAGTCCACAAAGGAAGGGCTTTGACAGGAGGGGCTGAGGCCTCCGGGAAACCCCCTCTCATCCCAAGATGAAGCGGAACCTGGGACCTTGCTCAGCACTCCACAACTGACAGCTTGGCTCCCTCCCCGATTACTAAGGACATCTTTTCCAGAGCCCACCCTGCTCCCCTGAGATTCAACCTCTGCATTACCCCTCCCCAGCCTAACAGGTGGCAGTACCCCTCACTCAGACTTCTGAGAGGGGAGAAGGCCAGCTGGACCCCCGTATGGCCAGGACTGTGCCTGGGCAGGCCAAGTCTGGCACCCAGCAAACCCAGACCTGTGTCAGGAGCAGCCACACTTCCGTCTATCCAGGAAGGTCCCTGCCCAGGCACATAGGCCCTGCTAGTGGCACTAGGGTGGCTGAGGGAGTTCCTCTGGCCGGCATCCCCTGTCCCTTCTGCTCCAAGCCATCGTTGTCCATATGGTCAGCGCGGAGACGGCAACAGCCCTCCACCGGAGCAGACAGCTAACATCTGCGGTGCCTTTGCCCAGGTGCAGTGTGAGCTGAAGAGAAGGTGGCGCAGCCTGTGCCTGACGCAGCCTGGGGGCCGAAACTACCGGCTACACAGCTGGTCCATTTCCCAGCACGGCTCGGAAAGCGCCCTGCAGGTGCACCGGGGCTCCCGCACGCAGTCCTTCCTGCAGACGGAGACCTCGGTCCTGTAGCTTCTTCCTGCTGCCCCACTGCCACCACTGGTCCGGCCTGAGACTTGCCTGCCCTCAACATAATCCGCTTCTCAGCTCAGCCCTGGGGGACAGGCAGCACTGCGATGGGTTTGATGTAAGTGCTCATTGTTGCTAAGCGGCAGCATCGAGGTCGTTTTGCTCATCATGTTGCTCAGCTGTGTAGGTGAACCCACTTTCAACACGGACAGGGGAGACCGAGCCCTAAATGTCAAAACCACAGCCGTGGCCTGAAGCTGTGGCCAGAGGGAGCAGCACAGGCCCTGTGCTGGGAGCCTGGACTGGGGCTGGGCATCGTGCCCTCCCCTCCCTCTCTCCTGACCAACGACGGTGTCCTCAAAGGCCTCTGCACTCAACAGCCCAGCCTGGCCCCCAGGGCACAGCGAGATGACTCGAGGAGGGCGGGGCCCAACCCTGACCCTGCCTTGCCGGATAGGCCCCAGGGATAGGTGTTACCTGGGGGCAACAGTAAACCTGCTCTATTTTTGATGAGAATATTAAAGTTATTTCTGCTTCATTGGAAATTGTTTTACCAAAATATGAACCCTCCTGTCTGGAGTTTGTGGACAGTAGGCCTTGCCTTCCATCCCTTCAAGGTCTGCAGATCCCGAGGAACTGTTGGCATGGCACAGGGGCAGGTGTAGGGGAGGGGCACAGAGCCATCCCCCAGCCACACCCTCGTCCCCACAGCCCTCAGACCAGTGGGATGTGCCCAGCCCAGCCCAGCAGATGTAGCGCCAGACCCAGGCGTCTGTGCCCAGTTTACACCACCTGTCCCTTAAGCTGAAGTCTTCAGAACCCCCTGGAAGCTTTGGTGGCTGTGTGGACCCTGGCCACACAGATGCTGGTGGTGCCCGTGGAGGTACCCAGGCCAGAAACTGGCGGGGGTGGGGCAGTCCAACAGGCAGCCAAAACCAAGACCCCATACCCGTGTCCCTGGAAATAAGAGCTTTGGGGCAGCAGAGCCCGTCCAAGCCTGCGCATCTGGGGGCAGCTATACTGCTTGTCCACCAGGGCCATCTCTGGATGCTCTTGATCACAATGCGGTGGGCAGCTCAGCGGAGCCGGAGACCCCGAGCCCTCACCTGCAGAGGGGGATGGGGTAAGGTGACCCAGGACTGGGTGGGGGCTACAGCTACCGAGAGGAGCACAGGTAAAGAGACAGCCATGGCCCAGCGTCCACAAGGGGGTGAGACGGCGCTGACATTGGGTGCAGAGGTGCGCTGTGGCCCTGCACAGAGCCTAGGGCCAGTGGGCACTGTGGTCCTTGTCACTGGGGTGGACGTCAGCCACACACAGAATGTGCTTGCCGCCCAGGCAAGTGCTGAAGCCCGGCGGGGCCTGGCCGCCCATGCCTGGGGACAGGAAGAAGACTCTAGACAGGGCCGAGGGAGCTGACTAGTAGCTGTGTGGCCCATGTCACTGTATTCTCTTACATGTCCCAAGTGCATGTCACAAGCCCACCCTCTGAGGATGAGCTGGGTAGATCCTCCTGTAAATGTGGTGTCCCGTTTGTCATGAGTACAGATTTGCTGTGATGTCCAGTACAGTGGTGCAGAAAGAATCTTTCCGGCCACATGGCTCCTTTGAGGATGTTTCCCTGGAGGCCGTCTCTGATGGTTCAGGTCGGCAAGGGAGAAGGCAGGTCTGAGGAGGCTAAGGAGCATGTATGGCCTCACCGCCTTCTCTGCCCCCAGTTCCTCAGCTCCCCAGAACTTGGAGAGTAATCAGCCAGAACCAGAGGAGGACTCAGTGCACATGTGTGTGTGCAGGTGTGTACACGGGGCATGCATTCCTAAGTATTTACACATGAGAGGGCATGCATGCCTGTGTGTGTGTGCACACATGAAGGCATGAATGTGTGTGCACATGAGAGGGTATGCAGGCATGCGTGTGTGTGTGTGTATGTGTATTCATGCATGCATGTGCTTACCCTTAACCACAGTTATGCCACAAGCAGAGAAAACGTATTTTTACTCCACACTGAACCAATCCACTGCATTGCCAAAGGAATGTAACACAGGGTAAAAATCTCTCGGGATGCCAAACTTAGAATGAGCCAAGTAGACCAGCGTCTGGTGAGTTCCTCAAAGCAAAGCAGGCTGGCAGTGCACGAGGACCAGCGCTGATCCTGTCTGAGGAGAAGTGTATGGACTCTGTCAGAGGAGCAGTGCTGGGGAGAGGCTACAGGAGAGTTTTCCCAGCAGGAGGCTGCGCGCTCTGAGGCAGCCCCGGGACGAGCACTGTGACGACCACAGGAGAATCCCAGCTTCAGGTTTGGGGCAGGGGCACCGTGCTCCCCTTGCTCCATAAAGGTAGTGATTGTGAGAACTGATGTTGATCCAGGATTTCCCTGTCTCTCCTCCTCTTTACTCATGGAAATTAGGTCACTTTGTACAAAGGTTCTGCAGCCTTCTCTTTCCAATTAAGATGGAGCAGAGATCCTTCCCATCTAAATGAGCAGATCTACATTTTTGTGGGGACAAGTCTCACTAAGTGGACCAGGATGGACTCAAACTTGAGATCCTCCTGCCTCAGCCTCTCACGTACCTGGGATTGTAGGTGTGTGCCATGATGCCCAGCTCAGATCTGCATTATTTTCCACAGCTGTGTGTCACTCCATAGCCTGGACATAACTTTATTTGGTCAATTCCTCATCTCTATTTGAGCTGCTCTTTATGTATATTTATGTCTGCCTGAGTAGTCTCATGGAGTAAATCCTTAAAGTGGGCGTGGGACAAAGGGTGTTTGCCCTAGGATGGTGGGACCAGGTCACAACTCCAGCCACTCCGAGAAGCATCGCCCACCTCGATGGGGGCTTTGTCTTTTCCAGGGCAACCCAAGGGCCCCGCTGGCTCTGATCTGTGTGTCTTTAAGGAGCAGTGAGCATCTTGTCTCCACAGAGAGCTTTTCTTCAGCTTTGTTTAAAGCCAACCTTCACCTGACCCACTAACAAAGTAGACCAGTGCTGGTCCCCACCTCAGCAGAGTTCATGCATCCTCCTCATGATCCACATCAGCACCGCACTTGGACCAGCAGGTGCCTGGGAGCTGCTGTGTGGGGATGCCAGTGTACAAAGGATCCAGGGCATCTTTTATACCAAAAAAGTGCTCATTAAGGGTGAAAAGAAAAGGATGTCTTACTTCCTTTGTGTTTTCCACACGACGATAAGGGAAGTAGGGCAGGCAGCCTCATCTGGCCGCACCCCCCACCGTCCCTCATCTTCTGCCCTGCGGGACGTCCCACAGGGTGGCAGGGGCCATCCTTGGCTGGACGCCCCGACCCAGCCTTGGGACCTTGGTTAGAGCTCTGTGTATTCAGCACCAGGAGCTGGAGGAACAGGAGGGAGATAAACCTTTGGGATATAATCAAGCCACAACAACCTGGGCCAGACCCTGCCTGAGACTCAGGGCTCTGCAGCCTCGTGTTTGAAGGCCCCATGTGACGGTCCAGGAAAACAGCACAGAGACTCAGTGTACCTGAAAAACCCACGGAATGGTGGTTCAGAGTGTGAAAGAGTTGTTACTTACATCATAAAGTAAATCCCCACAGTCCATTCAGAGCCAGCACTGAGACGCCGGAGTCTGTGCAGCCTGCCGTCATTCTTCCTCCTGGCCTCCAGGGCTCCCCCTCATCTTACAGGAGCTGGGGGATCCAGGCCTGACTTTGTACACTGGAGCTGTAGATGCACCACGCAGCAGTGCCGCAGAGGACAGCTGCACAGAGACCCCTATGCGTGGGGTGGAGAGGACGGGAGAGCAAAGAAACAGTTTGGGTCAGAGCAGTGGTGCAGAGGTGCAGCTCCCAGCAGGACAGCTGGACACAGACCTAGTCAGGCGAACGTGAGCTGTGCCCGGCTGTCCGGGAAACATGGAAAGGGCTTCCAGGACTCTGTGGGCCTCCATGGAAGGCCAATCAGTGACCGTGAGTGAGGGCCTCAGACAGAGTCAAGGTCCATGACCAGGATGACTTGGGGAACTGCAGAGAGGGTCTAGGATGGCAACAGAGGCAGAGACCAGGGGGACGATCAGGGCGCCAAGCAGCACCACAGCTCCTCCTAAGGCTCACAGAGCCACATGGGGACCAGGTCAGGAACTGAAGTCAAAACCCTCTGCTCCTCTGCCAAGGTGCCTGAAGCCTTTGTGTTCAACAAGCCCAGATCCCATCCAGGCTCAACACTGTAGGGAACTGGGGTGCTGATTCCTTGGGGCAGAGCAGACCCCACATGGGGTGGGAGATCCAAGAAGAGGAAACAGAGTGTGTAGCCTGCATCTTCTCCCCACTTACCCAATCCATGGGAGCCAAAGCAGGATTACTGACAGTTCTACAAGATCGTGGGGTACACAGGGCCAAAACCAAGACCCAGTGGGCCAGGCTCCTTGTGTCCCTTGGGATCCCCTGATGACAACATTGGGACACGGAACAGATGCCGCAGAGACCCCGTTTCAGGCCACCATGAAACTGCGTCCTAGGTCTGGTGACCACCAGGACCACCTGTCCTGTCCCAGAGACACCCTATATCCTGGAGCTGGGCACCATGAGGACCCAGAGACCTGTCGTCCTGTCCCAGGGCTTACCCCACATCCTGAAGTTGGGTGTTTGGTAGCCTTTGTGCCGAAAACTGTAAAAGGCAAAAGGAATAAGCAAATTCTCTTTGTAAGAAAAATTAAATCTGAATCCTTAATTACCAGTAACATTGTCACAGGTCTTGTGACAGTGCAGCAGGCTAAGCATTACTTCCAGTGTGTGGTTACACCTTTACTTAGTGGCTTTGTTATGTTACAGTGTTATCATAATACTAGGTAACATTAATTTTGTAGCATATTATTTACCATTCTTATTTACTCTCTGCACTTTAAACTTACTATAAACTTTCAAGTATTCATTCCAGTTTACCGTGTAATTTCATTTCCTGGGAAATTTCCCTACTTTAATGTGCAGAGTTATGCTCAATGGTTTATGTATAAGAGTGATCATTTGATATTTATAATATTAAAGACCAAGAATTGAAGATAATGTAAGTGTTCAATCATTAAAAATGATCAAGAAATGAATATAGAGTAAAAATTCTGGGCTGGGAGGCCCCTTGGGACAGTAGTGACTTGGAGTACTGTGTGCCTGGGGCCACTGTGCCTGGAGTCACTGCACACTGCCTCCTCCCTGGATGCCCGGGCTGCAGAGGAGCTGGCCCTGAGCAGAGCCATGACAGCTGGAACCTCCCCTGGGAGCTCCCACCACTCTGCATTCCTGCAAGTAATTAACTCTGCCAAGCAAACCGTTAATAATGCAACACAAATTCCATGATCCAATTACTCACCTAGCAAGGATAGTAAGCAGGGAAATTCAGGGCAGCCACGCTCGGTGCAGTGAGCAGGAGGAGGATGGAGTCCACTGGTCCCACACAGGGGCCTGGCACCCTGCACCTCGGCTTCAGCCTGCCACCTTCTAAATACTGACACCTTTGCCTGACACTCCCTCCCAGCCTCAGCCTTGTCCCATTCACGAAGATAGTCAATTCATCAGGAAAACTTGACCCTA